AGAGGATATCTACTGTTGATCTTCTAAGTCTCTATCTGGCAGTTAGAATAATTTCAACTTCCCATGCCTTGTTGAAAGGCAGTTCCTTGAAATCCTATTATAATGATTAAACACAAGAAGTAACATTTGCTGCAGGCATATTTCAAGAAACATTGATGCTTAACACATGGAAGACATCCGGTATCTTTTAACCATCATATGAAAACAACCTTTGGTATTTGTCCAGATAGCTTTGTTTTTTCTTAAAAAAAAAAAACTTCTAGGAAAATAAACATTATTTTTCTGCCACTTCAATCCACCTGCATATTCCCTAGGCTCACACTCCCCTCCTAACTCCATCTAATCAATAGTATTCCATCCAGCTAACTGTGTACCCAGTATTCATTTTGATTTGGCTTGAATTGACACACTTGTGCAAGTAGCTTTGGAACAGGCTCTCATAACTTCAAAGCCGGTGTTTGCTCGTAGAAAGAATCCAGTTGCTGAATCACCACCACCACACACATCGCTAGTTTCTCCCATTTTCTAGGTATGAATTATAACCACTGCCTGGCATCCATGTGGAGTGTGCTTTGAGATCCTTATTTCATAGCATATAAATAAGAATTCTTTTCCTAAATTTATTTCCTTAAGATAAATGTAATTGTTATCCACATTTCCTGGCTTAGGGGATAATCCACCGGTACATTAGTTGTAGTGGTTACATTCATTGTACACATTCCCGAGGTACAGAGTATTTGAGCCCACATATAATGATCAGTAATCAAATAAGAGTATGTGGCATGCCCGTCTCTCCAGACACTTAAGAAAGAACTCTGGGCTCTTCTTGTCTTCTTTTTTCCCTTTTCTTCCTTTGCCCCTTTACATTTCCAGGCAGAGGCTAAGTATGTAGTGCAGACTGGCCTCAGACTCACACTTGTAGTCTCGTCTTAATTCCCCCAGTGTCCATTTAATAGCCGTACAGGATCTTATCTGCTTTCGATTTTCAACTAAGCAAGTAATTACCCAGATAATCAAACTCTCAGGCAGTCCTGGAGTGTGTGTAAAAGATGAAACTACCTGTATTCCTGTCTCCTACGCTCACTTAGCGGTCTGTGTTTCCTTGCATCCTGACTTCCTCTGTGGGCTTGCAATTGAGAGTCATTACTGCCAAGGCATCCAGCTGCTTAATTGTACGTCTAAGTAAAAGAGCACATACATTAAGTCAAATAACACTATAGACTAGAGACGAAAACAAATCGGTGCTCCCCGGTCTGCGTTATCCCCCCCACACAATTACACTGCCGTCCAGTCTCTAGAGACGACGCTTTTCAATTCTCAGTGTCTTAGTTCAGGTGCCCAAGACGTTACGGACGATGTACTCAAATGCTTTTCTTCAGCGTTCATTTTCTTCCTGGCTTCTGAGAAAAGGCTTCGGCCTGATGTCACAGCCTGCTCCTTTACTTCACACGTCATCCTGGCAACTTACAATACACTTTAAAACACCAACAATTCTAGTTTATGTAAACAGTATCAGCTACAGTATCTATAGTTAATCATTTTAAAACAGTGCCGTGTATACTACTCATAGCTTAATCATCTTTTAGCGAATTCAACTTCTGCTTTTTATGGTTTTAATAATCGCTCATATACTTCGCTTATTTGCATTTTTCAGTCGCGGTTTTGCAGCCTATTTCTCTCTGGAGCACGCCTCTAAGAACCTGTTCCGTGCCGCTGCCATCCTTGTTCTCACTGGAGTGACTCTGCTCTGGATGGCCGCAATGCTGCATCCCTAATTAACTAATTAATATTCCCCGTCAAGTGGGGATGAGCTCCACACTCCTACCTTGGTGCTTCTGTGTGGTTTCAGCTTGGAGTTAGTTGCTCACCTGTTCTCTGTTTCTTCTGTGAAGGCACCAAGCAAGCAGAGCAATGTGGACACTTCAGTCAGCTCTGAGGACAGCTCTGGGCTCCTATCTTTTCGTTTACAAAACCACCATCCTGTAGCCAAGTCTACTGTTCTCTTTTCCCTATTGCTATTATTTTTCTTCTGAATGAAATACTTAAGTACATTTTTTACACCTTTATTGCTGTCATAATGTCTTTCTGAGATGAGGGCTTGTTCATTCTATCATGTGCAGCTTGAAGTTAGGGTAGTCAGGTTGTAAGACAATGAGGGGCACAAAGTCTGATGGTATGAACACAGACAGTTCATACAGCACGAAATCCTCCTGCACATCCGCCAGTCAGACCACAACGCACTGATGCATCTCTCTAGACTTCCTTTGTCAGTGGATGCAGGAGAGTGTTAGTTTACAGCCTAAGTGGATGAACGAGTCCTGATTGCTGCCCATGCTCATAACCACAAGGCCTCACGCCCATCGGATGTCCACCGTAGCTGAGTATGAGACTTCCTAGAATCTAGGAACAGGAATTACAAATTTTATTTAAAGTACATACTAAGTCCCCAATAAAGTATTTTAGACACATGGTACAAACCAGTGAATGATGCTTCTTCCATGGAAGAATTGCCATTCTAGCCACAGAAGACACATTTGTCCCCTGAATGTTAATTTTCAATGTTAGTGAAAATTAACATGTATCTGGAATTAGGAGATGGGGTTTTCCAAAGGAGGGAGTGGCTGCAATTTAAATTAAAGCAGGGTATTTTAAATGTGTCCCACTGAAAGGGTAGCATGCTAAAAAAGTGAGGAGTTGTGGCAGTTTTATTATATGGGGAAGCTGGAGGCAAGTAAAATGAATGGTGGAGTTAGAGCCTAGCGGCACAAAGCCTAAATGGGCACGTGGTAGCATTCAGAGCATCCTCAGAGAGGAAGACAAGATGGCGTCAGCTCTCATGCAGCTATATGCCAAGCTGCAGTATCAGGAGAGTATCAGATTGCTAACATCGTAAAAGACCGCTCTCCATATCAAGGCAGGATGCGAAGTCCGTGAATGCATGATTGAACAATGCCACTTCAGACAGTAGCACGCCATTCAGCACTGAAAAAAAAAAGTGCTATCAAGCCGCGAAAGACACAGAAGAAATTTATACACACCTTAAACACTCCAAGAAGCCAAGAGGGGGGAAAAGCTACATCTGTATGATTTCAAATACGTGCTCCACCGGAAAAGGCAAAACAGGGAGACAATGAAGATATCACTGCAGGCCTGGAGTTAAAATGGAGGTAGGGACTTGGGTTAGCAGAGCGCGGGGATTCTCAGGACAATGACACTGTAAGATATTCCGCTGATGGTGCTGAATATCATAATCAATTCATCACACCCCCCAGAATGTACAACACAAGGTTGTGTGATGATGTGTACCTGTGCAGCTTCATCAGAAGAATGTAATCCTGAGACCCTGCCTACGTGTGAGTACAGGGAATATAGGAAATGTCTTTGTTATCGTGTTTAAAACGGTGGGAAAGAGTCGTGCTATACAACAGGGCTCACATGGGAGATTTACTGGAATAGGAGAGAGAAAGGTCAGAAAAGGGGACAGAGAAGTGGGCAGAAAGAGGGTAGAAGAGAAAGAGAGGCAGGTGGACAGACAGGAGGTGGGCAAGGCCTACCCTTTTAAAAGGGAACGTAGTGAATGTGCACAGGAGGTGCTCTTAGTGACTGAAGCTGAGGACAGATCCTGTCAGGACCTTAAGGGCAGGCCAGTACAGATGCCTGAATACTAACTCTCTCCACTTTCTCCTTAGTATTCAAGCAAATCTGAAACTGTTCTACAACTAGGAAAGGAGTTTCCTGGCTGCTGTGTTATCAATAGGATACTCGAGAACGAAGATGGGGCGCGTGGACCAGTTTGGATCTATTTTAGGACTCCAGCAAGGACTGGCAGTGGTGGTTGATACCAGACAGGTGCTAAGTGGAAAACTTTTATTTAGAGTCTGGAAATTCTGAAGCTATGATCAACAAGATTTTCAGACAAAACAGTTGAATGAAGTAATACAAGCAAAAGGTACAAGTCCTTGACTGAGCTATAGGAAGGTTGGAAACTCTTTGCTAAAGCAGTTTTGAGAAAAGATTGGAGTTAGGATTAGTCAAGTTGAATTGGCAATCAAGTAGCTATGTCAATTATTTCATGAAACAAGTTCACTACCTGTATTCAGCTAATGTGGAATCTGACAGAGTTATTATTATTATTATTATTATTATTATTATTATTATTATTATTATTTTGCCCTGCCTCTGTCCTTGCCAAATGATACTTGGAAATCTCAACCTGCTACTTCTGTAGCAGTCTTCAAGCAAAAAAAAAAAATCTTTAACAAAGTTCCTTCCTATTTTGCTGCAATAAATGCAAATCCTGAAGGTCCTGGAAGAGACCAGGCTGTGGAGTTCACATTCCCCAAGGACAGCGAGACCCCTGCCCTTTTTCTCTCAGAATCATTGTTTCTGCCAGTTTACATCTTAGGCAATCTTCTGATTCTAGGTAGATCCTCTCTTCTCCAGCTGGGGAATAAGACTCCTTGTGTTGAGACTAGTCATCTTTCTTCTTCCTTTCCATTCGTTTTCCTGTCAATTTCAGAGCTAGGACGTTCCTCCCATTCTCTCATTTTAACTTTAACTCAAATGCTCACCCTCTTAGGCTCGAGCACCATTGCTAAACTGTTTATTCATTTTTAATGACTCGCTGTCAGAGGCTGGCTGAAGATGCAGATGTGGGGGCATCATTTACTAAGCTGTGGAAGGCAGTGGGAGGCAAAATTAATGCAAATGGTTCCTAGCTCCCATTTCTGCCTCCTTACAAACTCAAATGGGAGTGTTGTCTGCTCTAAATGTGTGATCAAGCTGTGCTACAGAGTCCACTAACCCACTAGCAAACATCACTATGGCCATCTCCCCACCCCCTTCCATCGACTCTTTTGTCTGCTTGTACTTGCTCAGACTCTCAGGTCTCCAAGGTTTGAATCTCCAAGAATTTCCACTAAGTCAAACAATTTGCCTAACATTGGTTGTCTCTCTTTAGAAATAGTTCTACTACATTCCACTGCCAATTCTGGGTACAATCAGCTTGTTTTAAGAGTCTCTTCATATGGAGGTGGAGGACCTAAGGCACTAAAACATGGAGCAGGACCCAGTTCAGTGTTTGGAGCAGGAAGGCCGATTCCAGATGTTGGACTTCCAGCCATTTCTGTCTCTGGAAAAGAAAAGAGGGGGTATGAGTTACCATTCAGGGGAGTATACAGACAGTCACAGAGCTGATGAATCTGGCTTTTCTTGCATCACTGGAGCAACAAAAATTTATTTGTGCCCGTGCCAAAAACATTATGGCCACCTTTCTCATCCCACTGATAGCAGAGCCACGATGAGGATGATCTGATGACACCAGCGCGACCAATGCTCCAGGAAACATTGATAGTCCAGCCCCTGAAACCAAAAAGCAACGTTCTGTTGGGGACTACAAAGCCGGTTCCTCTAAATAGTTGTGCTGTTTTTGCTAAAGCTGATGGGCTAATAGGAACCTCAAGTCTCACTAGCGACATTAGACTATTACTAAACTCTACTGTGTCATATTTAGGTTCTCAAAATATAACAAATACAAATAGTGCAGTATTTCCTTGAAAAAGGAGTAAGCATGTTGAGATAGGTGGTGACAATCTTCCACTTAAAATGCAGGCAGAATAAAGACAAAACATCCTAAATTAAAGAACTTTCAAGTTGATGTTCTTCTGCCCAGATTATGTATAGCACAGCCATTAAACAAGCATTTGCTTTTATAATGTGGTAACCTTGAAAGACCTTGAATTTTTTTTCCAGTAGCTCTTTCAGAAATCAGTATTTCCTTGAAGGACTATTTTTGAGTCACTGGAAAAATCAATAGTAATATTTTATAACCTTCTCTTTTTGCATACTTATTCTTTCTATCCTGGATGTTTATCTAACTCTGAATTACTTTGACATTTTTATCTACAAACATAAACTGAAACACAACATTCCACATATTTGCATATTGATTATGTCTGCTTTTGAATTATAATGATGGGGGTCATTAGTCCGTCTAGAAACTGTAGGGGTTACAAAAATAAAATTGTTTCTCTCTGTTCTCCAGCTGAAGAGGTTGAGGAACCTTTCTGAAAGGATTCAGAGTTGTTAGCATCCAGAAGCTTGCAAAGAATATACTATACATAGTTTACCAATGGGTTCAGAGTACTAGACATTAGCTCACTGCAGGAATCAGTCTTCACATTATCAAATGGTTACTATATGTGTATTATTATAACTTAGCATCATTTTTCCACTCTTGTGTATTTGCCTTATTTCATATCTTGTTGGTTTTCAGTTATTACCATTAAATGAGAAAGACAGAAGTGTATTGAATATATTTAAATGTACTTCTTGCTCCAGGATTTTTCTTAGTATGATTTTTAATTGAATAACCCACCCCTATGCTATATATTTATTTAGCTCACTTTTCTCTTCTTCAGCAAAAGGATAATGATGGTGTCTATCTCCGTAAAAGCAACATTAGCCGTCTGGAGATGGGGTGGAGTTTGATTGGCATGTGCAAGACCTAGGTTTAATCCCCAGCACTGAAGAAGGAAATCATAGGAAAACCAAATGCATGTATAATGTTCGAAATGAGCCAGGCATATATAGCACCAAATATTGTGCCATGTTAGGAACATGTAGCAATTTAAATCTGTAACGTTATTTTCTTATCAATTCCACTGTAATGGTTATTTAATGATTTAAATCATCTTTATCATTATTAGGTATGGCAAAAATCATTACATAAAAGTTTAGCAAGGTAAAACCTTTTGAAGTGAATAAGCTTGGACTGAGGTCAGCTAAGCTTCTCCATCAAACAGAGTTGCAGCTGATTTTATGCAGTCCCCTTTTCTCAGTAATTACCTCCATTCAGAAGTATGCAATGAACAGCAGCCATTTTCCTGGTAGACTGTTGCTAATGTAGTCAGCTTTAAGTCAGCAGTAACTTAGCCTGATACCTGGGAACGTTTGGCCAGTGGCTTGACACATTCATATTTCTGCTTGGTTTAATTTATTTCTCCTGCTGACATCAATATTGTGATCCTGGTGATCCGATCCTGACAACAGATCTCTGTGATGGGAAAATATTATCTCTTTACTACAAATTTGCTTGTTACCTTTATGGCTGTTATGAAAGACATTGGTGTTTTATCGGTAAATTAATTAAACCAATCATCTTAGAAAACTTGAAAATTGAAGATATAACTCCTGCTGTCTTTTTTTTTTTGTTCCCAGAGTGTGTTTGTATATAATTTCATGTGGTTTGGAGTGGGGGGTGGCAGGGGATTTATTATTTGTTTGTTTGCTTGCTTGTTTATTTAGAGGGCATACATGGAGGCCAGTGGACAACTTATGAAGGCCAGTTCTCCCCTCCTACCATGTGGCTCTGGGAACTGAACTCAAGTCATCAGATGTGGCAGCAAGTGCCCTAGTGCCTTTACCCAGCCAAGGCATTTTGCCACTCTTATGTTATCTTTACCTGATAACAAGTTAACTCTGTTTAAAAGCATTGAGAAAATTCTATGGCTTTGCCAGTAAACTGTGGTCTGAAGGACACACTTATTTTTCAGCTTTGTAAAGCCCACACATTTATCATTGAGTTCTTATAATTAGAGTCCAGATTTCTTACATCACTGATAACAATTCCAACAGATTTCACTTACATGAACATACATTTTCTACATCTCTCATTGCTTACCCCTCATTGTGAAGTGGGAAAGGAGGATGTCTCACTACGGAAGTTCCCTCCTGCAGGCTTTGAACTTACTAAGTCCAGGTTGCCCTGGAACCTGTAGTCCTGATTAAGTCTCTTGAGCACTGGGATTACAGATATGAATCACCATGCTTGGTCATACTCCCGTTTTCTCTCTCCCTCCTCACATAGAGGAATAGCTAAAAAGTCTGAATGGGAGGCATCGTTCTGTCATAATACCATGCATGTGGATTCATCTGTGAACGCCTTTCTTTCTGCATCTTCAGAATAGTGAAAACAATAGCAAAGTTTTAGAGAGCTGTTGGGAGGAACAAGTAAGAGTTAAGGTATATATATGGGAATATATAAGGTATATATATATATATATATATATATATATATATATGGGAAACACTGAATCATCTGCCCTTTGCAGGTCTTTCCACAAACTGTGTGAATGAAACCCATCTTCTTCCCTTCCTGATACCCCATAAGGTATTTACATGTGGAATATAAACTCTACAGAGAAAATCTCTAACAGGTCCTATAAAAAAGAATCCTGAGCCACCTATGGGGGAAAGACTTGGACATGCCAAGGCTTGCTTCTAGTCTGGGTCCCTCCAGTCATTTCTCTTCCCAGCTAGGAGCGCTCACATCTAATCAGGACAGGAAAACCAGATCTTTTTTTTTTTCTGAAATAGGAGTGATGCAGGAGAGTCTTCTGTTTTGTGTTGATTTCATTGGTTAAATAAAAAAACTGCCTTGGCCTTTTTGATAGGGCAGAAAATTAGGTAGGTGGAGTAGACAGAACAGGAAGCTGGGTAGAAGGCAGTGAGGCAGATGCCATGAAGCTCCAGCCTGAGATGGACATAGGTTAGAATCTTCCAGGTAAGCTATGACCCTGTGGTGACATACAGATTATTAGAAATGGGCTAAAAGAATATGTGAGAGTTAGCCAAAAAGAGGCTAGATATAATGGGTCAGGCAGTGTTTAAATGAATACAGTTTCCGTGTAATTATTTTGGATAAATTAGCTGGGAGCAGGGAGGGATAAAAAGCAGCCCATCTGCTCCTTTTACAACATAGGAGAAAGAAAAAAAAATCATTCATGAAACAGCAGAAATGATGGGTTTGGAGAGATTGCTAGCTGGAAGGCAGTTTACCTGGGCCATCAGCCCTGAGAGGCTAGGATAGACTGAGCATTCCAGGAGGGGCAGAGTCAGAGGTCCTTTTCAGGGACAAGTGTGACACCACCCATGGAGTGAGGGCAGGAAGATGGCTGTTGGTGTCACAGTTGACTGGTATTGTTCATGAAAGTGAGCACAAAGGAGGAGCTGTCTCTTTGTTGTCTTCTAATGAATGCCAGCTCACTTATATACCTTACCTGTCTTCCACGCCCTCCCAAATCTCCAATTTATTACCCTTCATATCACCAAATGCCGACTTCTTTATTAAAATGGGCTTCTATTCAGCTATTCAGATTTATTGCCTTACTTTCCATGAGATCACAATTTACCCTTAGTTTTAGTGAATTATTTTTATTAATACATTGAAAAAAAACCTTGACATTACTTTTCAAATACAAACTAAAGCACAATTAATCTAACAAACTAAGATTCTCATATTTATTTTTCTATTTCTCTATTTTGAAATCATTGCAATATTTATTTCACTGTTTTAATTTCCTTACTTTACATAATGGAATATAGTAATAACTGATGGAGAGCCTTTGCTTGTCATTAGTTAAAGCTTACACAGATTTATTTATTGCAAAAAGATGTCATCATTGGACCAGGAGATGTTCCTGTGGTCTGCAGTGTTTCACCGAGGTCCCAGGTGAGGGACCTTTCTCAGAGTTGATAGCTCATCAGACATCGCTATGGTCTGTGCTGGCAACACCTTTCTTTAGTACACCTTATATATACAGATGAAGAGCTCTGTGCCTACTTCTTTTCTCTTTAGTATTTCTAATCAAAGAAATTGGCAACCCGTGGAACAATGGTCTTGTACCCTGTCACTTGTATTGTTTTAATAAAAACTGCTGATTGGCTAGTAGCCAGGCAAGAAGTATAGGCGGGGTAACCAGGCAAGAAGTCAAGGGGGAACTAGAAACTACTGTCAACAAATGGTGCCGACATGGACAACCACATCCACATAAAATCTGACAGAGTTTAGGAAGTAATTCTAGACAAAACAGAACAGAGTTAAGCATGGCCTCTTGGTAGCAGTATTTTTTCAGGTGGGCTTCATTTGCTAGAGGCAAGCTGTCTTATTTAAGAGAGGCTTCCTGACTCAGCTTTAGCTGCAAAAACCTTGCAGCCCCTTTAAAAGGCTGTGACATAAAATACTTAAATGATGTTTATGAATAGCCAACAGCATGCTTCTGGGTAATGGCGGGATCTTGAAACTCCTCAGAGTTGTGGCAATAAACATGGCTCCCTCTGGTATCTCTACCT